GAAAAAGACTAGAATCCTGGCCACCAGTGAAGACCGAGGTGAAGAACTCATTCAGCACCTCAGCTTTCTCTTCATCTGTTGAAGCCAGTTCTCCTTTTAAATTTACCAAAGTAGGTACGCCCGTTTTGGCCTGTCTCTTCTGGCCAATGTACCTGTAGAAGGTTTTCTTATTGTTTTTCACGTCCCTTGCCAAGTTCAGTTCTGCCTGCGCCTTGGCTTCCCTGATCCCACGTCTGCAAGTCCGGACGGCATCCCTGTGCTCTTCCCAGGTGACACAGCCTTGTTTCCAGAGCTTGTACACCCCTTTCTTCGCCCTCAGTTCTCTCAGCAGGTCCTTGCTGAGCCATGCCGGTTTCCTACCTCGCCTGCCCACTTTCTTATTCAGAGGAATGGAGACCTCTTGTGCTTCCAGGAGGGCATCTTTGAAGAGCCGCCAGCTCTCCTCAACATCCTTGTCTTTGAGGGCAGCGCGCCAGGGGATCTTGGCCAGCAATCCATTGAGTAGTTTGAAGTAAAGTTCAGTGTCCTGATCCTGCTCTTTGCCAGGCCCACATCGCTTGAGATCACAAACTCAACCAGGGCGTGGTCGCTGGAGCCCAGGCAGCCTCCGACCTTGACGCCTTTGATGATCTCCTCGGCTGCTCCTCCTTGGTGAGCAGCAGGTCTAGCAACGCTTCACCTCTGGTCGGTCTGTCCAATACCTGAACCAGAAAGCTATCGTCAATGGATTCCAGGAGCCTTCTGGAGCTCTTGCAGCTCGCCATGTGGTTTTCCCAGCAGATGTCTGGATGGTTGAAGTCCCCCACCAGGACAAGAGCCCGTGAGCCAGACATCTCACGCATCTGGAGCAAGAAAGCCTCGTCAACAGCCTCCCCTTGATCAGGTGGTCTGTAGTATACCCCTAACACCAGCTGACCTATATTAGTCCCATCTCTAATCCTAACCCACAGGCTCTCAACCTGTTCCTGACTGTTTCTCGTAGGGAGCTCCTCACAGTTTATCCAATCCCTGACATAGAGAGCAACTCCCCCACCCCTCCTACCTCGCCTATCTCTCCTAAAGAGTCTATAGCCGTCGATGGCAGTATCCCAATTGTGGGAGTCATCCCACCATGTTTCTGTGATAGCGACAAGGTCATAACTTTCCGAGTGCATCACAGTTTCCAGTTCCTCCTGCTTGTTACTCAGGCTGCGTGCATTGGTATAAAGGCACTTCAGCCGGGCTATCCTTCTCGCCACCTTTATATGGGATCTAGGATCCCCTAGAACAGCAGCATCCCCAGCATCCCCCTGCCCTACTCCTTCCCTATGCACTCTGCCGTCATTGCCCATGGAGTTCGGTACAAGCCCTCGAATGACCCGTTCAACCCCAGTAGCCCTTATTTTGTCCCCTTCCCCCTTCATTCCTAGTTTAAAGACCTGTCAATGAGTCCCGCTAATTCTTCAGCTAAGATCCTCTTACCCTTCAGGGACAGGCTGCATGCATCAGCAGCCATCATGCCAGGTGCAGTGTAAATTGCCCCATGGTCAAAAAAGCCGAAATTCTTGCGCCTGCACCAGCTCTTAAGCCATCTATTGAAGAGTTGGGTATTTTGGATCCTCCCTGTACCTTTCCCTGACACCACGGGCATAGAAGAAAAGACCACTTGCACCCCAGCTCCTTCAAGTATACGCCCCATTCCCCTGAAGTCTTTCTTGATAGACCTCAGGCTTTCCTTATCAACTTCCTCGCCGCCAGCCTGAATTATTAAAAGTGGGTAATAATCTGAAGGCCGAATCAACCCAGGAATTTTCTTTGAAATGTCCCTGACCCGTGCCCCAGGAAGGCAGCACACCTCTCTGCGGGTAGGGTCGGGCCGGCATATAGAGCCTTCTGTTCCTTGCAGAAGGGAGTCGCCTATGACAATCACCCTCCTGTCCTTACGGGTAGAAGCAGTCTTGAGGGTCGGGGGCGACCGCTTCGCCTGAGGCAACCTCACGGGTGAACCTGTCTCCGCACTCTCACTCGTCCCCCCCTCGACTTCCAGGGCCTCAAACCTGTTACGCAGAGGCACCTGGGGAGCCGGGGATGGTCGGGATGGGGGATGCTCCCTCCGCCGAGCAGGTACCCGTTTCCACTCCTCCTCCCTTCTCAAACTGCTGTTAGGGGGAAGAGAGGACAGGGGGCTTGCTGAAACGCTGTCAGCTGGCTGGTTCCCCTTTGCCAGGTGTTTGTAAGGTGGCAGGGGCTGATGTGCTCCGTGAGGAGCCTCGTCTGTGTGCCGAGAACCTGAGGTTGAGAGGGACTGACACCACCAGTCAATCTCCCTCTCACACTCTTTTATAGTCCTCAGCCTCTCCACTTCCTCCTTCAGGCTAATCACAAGGCTGAGCAAGTCATTCAATTGCTCACACCTTGTACAAGTGCTGCCTCCTTCATGTGGCTTTGCAAAGGCCAGGCTGTGGCACTCCTCACAGCCAGTGACCTGCACACTAGCATCTCGTGATGGTAACTCTGTCTGAGTCGCCACACACTTCATACCGTTGTTCTCCCCTCTATGCATGCACCAGACCTCAGTCTGGCTCTGGACCGTCTTCTTGGCTACTGTCTTCCTGCTGCGTGTGCTCGGGACCTCTGCATGGGTCTTCACAGTTTTTGTGTTTGAAGCCTTCTGCCGGGGTGCACCCATGGCAACCAGCAGGCTCACTAACTCAACAAGAAAGTCCTAAAGGGGTGCAAGTGATCAGCCCTGCCCTGCTGCCCCCTACCCTCACACTATTGCCGGGTTCGCTAAGTGCCCTGGCACTTACCACCAATAGCAATAACAAGACTCCTTGCAGGGGAGTGCAGACAGGGGTACCTTACAAAAGCACCACGTTAAGGCAGCCCAGGAGATAGCTGTACTACCTCCTCTGCTGTGCCTCTCGAGGGCTTTTTGTAGCGGCGGTCAAGGGCCACTTCCGGTTTGCGCCCGTTTAAATCTCCCGCCGTTACCCAGGCAACGCCCGCGCTGCGTCAGCTGCTCTCGCGAGAGTAGCCCGACTGAGAGCGGCGTCCGCACGGTTGTCGCGGGAATCCTCGATGAGGAAAGCGATTAAATCCCCACGTACCTCGCTAAAAGTCGCGGCGGTTCTGCCAGAGACAGCTCCGAGCCGCGGACCTCGGCGATCCGGTCATCAATAAAGACATTAAACAAGATGGGCCCCAGTACCGACCCCCGGGGGACACCACTTGAAACAGGTCGCCAGCTGGACTTCACTCCATTCACCACTGCCCACTGGGCACGGCCCTCTAGCTTTCCTGGAAGGCTGTCCTCACTTCCAATGCCCCTCACCCCTTTTGTGAACAAGGCTGCTTACAGCAGCAGTTTCCAGCCCTGGCGCTCTCTCTCTCCTAGTGTTCTGCAGGGGTTGCTCTCATGCCAGTGCAGATAAACTCACTTTTCCTTCCACCCTTTTGCCTTTTCAACTGTTCCGCTATTCGTACCCTCAATTACGCTTCCACCTACACTCAATTATGCTTCCACATACCATTAACCGAGACACTTTCTTATACCATCCAAACATTTTGTCTCGTTCCTTCCAAACCCACACATCATACAGCCGGGGCTCTCTCCCTGCTCTGTGGTGGATGTGTCGACCCAGGGAGTTTTCTCCGAGAATCTGGGTGCATCAAAAGGAGGGCCGTAAGGAGGATCCGGGGAACTATAGGCCCGTTAGCCTGACCTCGGTACCAGGGAAAGTTACGGAGCAAGTCATCTTGGATGAGATTGCACGGCATGTGCGTGGAATCTGTCCACTTCCTAACACAGAGGGCAATTCCACTGATCAAAGACAGACCCCAAGTATAAGCCTGGCTACCGATTTATCAGTCTTGCTTCTCTGTATTGCGAGCTCAAATGCTACCTAACTGGCAAAACCCCAGAGATGTGTTTAAATGAATTTCAGAAGATGCTTTTCTATTTTGAAAGGCAAACCTACTCATAGCTTGGCTTTCCTGAGCGACAAAACCTGTGTTTAGAAAGACATATTTTTTCTAGAAAGCACGTGAAAATTCAATGTTCTTACATTTTCCAGATCTCAAGAAAGGCGAAAAAGCACGAACATAAATAAGGAAGCAACAATTTTATTAAGATAGAGTAGGTGAAGGAGAGTTGTTGTCCAGTGTGAGAGTCTGCACACGCGTCGTAGCACTCGGTGGTGGTCTGGTGGTCTTTTTGATGAAGGCTGTTCTCTTCCTCACTGTGTGCTTTTTGACGTGAGTCAGTTGGAGGACAGTTGGCTGGCTTTGGCTGGCTGTCTTGTAGGCTACGACTCCTTCCTCCATCTGTTGCCTCCTTGTTAATTGGTGGTTTATTGTCCTAGCCAGCTGTCACACACTGCACTGCACACATAGGGTAGCTAACGACGTTACCTGGAGAAACAGCAGACCCGCTGTCTGCACTAACTGTCCAAGTCTGTAGTAAAGCATCAGTTATTGGCAGCCAAAAGCTGGATTAGCAAGGTCAGATCCGTAGCTGCCGATCCAGCACCCATGAAGGCACATAGCTTTTAACCTCACTTGTTTTCCTTAATTCAGCGGAGGGCCACGAAGATGGTGAAGGGCCTGGAGCATCTCTCCTATGAAGAAAGGCTGAGTGAACTGGGTCTGTTCAGCCTTGAGAAAAGAAGACTGAGAGGGGACCTGATCCAGGTCTGTAAATATCTAAGTTGTGGGGGGCAGAATGGCGAGGCCGGACTCTTTTCAGTGGTGAATGGCGACGGGACAAGGGGAAACGGCCGGAAACTGCAGCACAGGAAGTTCCGCACAAATGTGCGCAAGAACTTCTTTACAGTGAGGTGACGGAGCACTGGAACAGGCTGCCCAGGGAGGTGGTGGAGTCTCCTTCTCTGGAGATGTTCCAGACCTGCCCGGATGCCTACCTGCGCGACCTGCTGTAGGGAACCTGCTTTGGCAGGGGGGTTGGACTCGATGATCCCTGGAGGTCCCTTCCAACCCCTACAATTCTGTGATTCTGTGATTCAAAGTTGTCCAGCGTTGGAGTCTGCTGCCCGGTAGGAGTCCATCTTCCTGTCCGTGTTAGCCTTCATGAGTGCTGCCAGGCGGGAGAATCTCTGTCCAGCAGATGTGCCCTCCTGGCTGTAGAGGTCCTGGAGCAAGGAGAGGCATCTGCTCCGGTGATGCAGCCAGGCTTGTTTCTTCCTCCTGCCACACAAGAGAAACCGTTGGGCCCACAGGCATTGCTGTGGAGCACTGAGTCAGACAGGGCAAGGGAAAGCAGAGCGGCGGGGCTAGATGGCTACACTGCTGGAGGAAGGGAGCTGATGCCAGGAGGGCAGCCGGGATGAAGGGGGCAAAGGAAGAAGTGCTGCTGGCACTGCGGCACCACAGGTGCATCCCTCAGCACAAGCTGCTTTTTACCCAAAGGTGTGCATTCTTCTCCCATGCTGCACACAGGGAGGCTGCGCCATTCCTGGCTCTACCATCCTCGCATCAGGCCTGAATGCCTCAGTCCTGCTAAGGCTTGGGAATGGGCAGGCCTGTGTCATGGATCAGGTACAGAACGGCTCTTCCTCTCTGCTGCTTGTCCCTTCTGCTGCTTACCGAGCCTCCTGCGGAAGGAAGGACGCTCTGCCTGTGGCCTGAGAAATCTGCCGCAACCTTTCCCACAGAGACTTGACAAAGGCCCCAGCACGGCTCTGGGGGAAATGCTTTTCCAGCAGGCTTAGTGCCTGCCTGCTCATTTTCCTGGCCAGCTTCACACATCCCATGTTCCTGCAGACCTGCACAGGAAGAGGGAGGCATGCAGATGTAGAGGACTTGCCCAAGTCCTGCCGAGTCTGCAGAAATGGACCAGGGACTGGCTGTGGCAGGAATATTCCCCGCCAGCAGGGAAAGCATCTGGCTGCATGCCTCTGGACACCCTTCCACTGCCTCTTTACCTCTCCTTTGAGGCTGAAGAAGATGGCCTCCTCAAAGCGGTCTGCGGCATTCCTTTCTTTCTCTAGGGAGCTCCTCAGGACCTCCGCTTCATTCAGCTTCATGAAGGCCTTTGAACAAGCAACACAAACAGCAGGTGAGCATTGGCCCCTGGCCAGCCCCATCCTTCCCTGTTGCCTCCTGCAGCATCTGCCTTAGCAGGGCCCGTGTTCCTCCTGGTCATGCCTGCCCTAACACAGTCCTGTGGGCTCAGAGCACGGGCACCGAAGGAGTCAGTCCTCTTCCGTGCTAATGCAGCTTGTGCTGGCAAGCAGGGTGACTCACCATGGAGCTGTTGGAGACGTGCAGGTAGGCAGCCGCAGACTCCAGCAGGTAGTAGAAGGCTTGGGAAGCATTGCCCATGGCTGTGTAGTGGCGAGCCAGGGGCACAAGCACCGCTTCGGCGATGGCTTCACACTGGCAGCACCGGCCACTGTCCCTGGCCCGCAGCGTTGTGTGCTCGCCTTCTGCCAGAATCCCCTCTGCAGGGAGGGTCCTAGCCCTCCGCAGGTGTTCTCCAGCAACTACCAAGGCCTCCCAGCTGCCCCAGTTGTCCTTCTCAGCAGAGCCCTGGCTGTGGCAGCTCCCCTGCTCCTGGGGGCTGGAGATGCCAAAGCGGTGGAAGGCCACAAAGTCCCCTTCGTGGCACCTCCGGCATTTGTGCGCATGCCTCTCCAGGAAGGCAGCACACTGACAGTGGATGTTGATCTTCTGCCTCGTGGGCCACAGCTTGTAAGTTGCCTCCCACAGCAGAGGGGTGCAAAAGGCCAGGATTTTAGACTCCTGCTGCACGGTCTCCCTGCTCACAGAGGGCCTCTTCATCCCTGCAAGGCAATGAGTCCTGGCCTCAGACAAAGCTGGGGCCAGACCTCCAGGCCGCCCCAGCTGGGGCAAAGGCCACACTTTGCTGCGTGCTGCTGTCTGAGCCCAGCCTATGCTCTGCCTGCAAGCACGGTGGCAGAGGCTCTTCCAGCAAGCCACTGAGAATTTCCCTCTGCACAAAGCTAGGTGAGCAGGGCCCTGTGGAGCCACACTGCTCCTGGATCCACGCTGCACCACCGCTTCTTGCCTGCCCAGAGGTGGGCAGCCTCTTTGTAGCACCTCACTTGCCTTCTGGCTTCTCGATGTCCAGTTGCTTCAGGATGTTGTCCTCCACCAGCTTGTCCAGCAGTGAATTAATCCCGTGCCTTTTGCTACTGGGAATAATGTGAACCAGCTGCTGGGTGGTAAACACCGGCCCTATGACGGCTGCAAACTTCAGAACCATCTGCTTCTCCAGATTGATCCGATCCAGCTCAGCCAGCGCAATCTCTGCCAAGAAGAAGCAACACGTCTTCGTCTTGCCTGTCCCTGAGCCTGAGGTTGGAGAAGCTGGACGGTTTCTCCAGAGGAAACGGGGAAGGCTTTGGCCTCCTCTCCCCAGGATGGAACCCGCTGGGCAACCAGAGCCCAGGATCAGTATCTTCAAGATGGCTCTGCTCCTCTCACACTCACAGGCCACAGGAGCCAGGGAAAGCAGAGACACTCAGACAAGTGTTCCCGACCAACGATGGGGAAGGCACAACCAGCAGGTATGTGTGTCCCACTGTGCGACCTACTAGATCTGCACTGGGTTCGTACCCAGCAGTGCACACAGAGAGCACAGAACATTCTCACCAGCCCACAGCTGGACTCGGAGTTCCCTCCACCCATGGTGTGCAGCGCACAGTCGGCTCCGAGCTGGTCTACTGCCCACAGAGGAAAACCACAGCCCGCAAAAGCGCAGGACTCTTCCTGCTTGGGCTGGAGTCACCTTCCTGGCAGAGCCCCGAGGCTGAGAGAGCAGCTCTGCAGCACACAGGTGCCCAGCCTCTCTTATCTGCACCCCAGGAAAGGAAGCTGGGGCACAGCCACAAACCTCACGCTCAGCTCCTCACCTTCCAAGGCCACCGGCAGCATGGGGTTCTCCAGGCTCACGTCTGGTCTGATGGTACAGATCCTTTCGCTGTCATTCCTGGTACCCGAGCTCGAGGCAGCGGTGACAGCAGGTGACGCCTTGGCTGCAGAAGATGGGAAGAACAGGGGGAGCATGAGTAAGATCCGACAAGTCGTACCTGTTCATAGTCAGGCACACTGCCTGGCGTGCACTGAGCAGGGCCAGCAAACAGGGCAAGCCGGTCGATTCCCAATGCAAGCTTTCATTTGCATTGCCCGCCCAGCTCTCTTCTGTCTTCACACCAGCTTCAGACCAAATGCCGTTCAGTCAAAACTTCTGGGCTCCTCAGATGGAGAATGAACGTTGCACGACAGAATGTGGTGGTGATGCTGCCTTCAACAGCACTACCTCCAGAGCCAGGGAAGTTGCCACTGATGCTCCAGAAGGCAAAGCCCGTGCAGGCTGCCGCTAAGCAATGATGCTCTGCTTGGCATTGCTCTTGCAGTGGCATTCCCACCGTGCTCTTCAGTTCCCAAGGCCCTTTGAGGACTTGAGGTTTTGGAGCAGTTTCCCGCTCCCCCAGGTGGGCTTTGCTCTCACAGGAGCTGAGCTGGTGTTTTGCCAAGGGAGCAGCAAGGTGCGCAGCAGCCCACACCTCTGCCGTGGCAAGTTCTGCCCTGCTGCAGGGTCAGCCTCCGCCCAGAGTCACTGGGGAGACACAGGGCACGGCTGTGTGGGAGAGGATGCGCCACAGCGAACAGCTGATCGGCAACAAGGGTGCTTACCAATCAGGCTCTGCCAGTTGTCCTGTCCTTCGTCCGGCGTCCCGGTGTGCAACAAGAGCATGTTGTTGCATCGCAGGTAGCGCAGCAGTTCCTCACAGTAATATGGGATGCCAGAGCTTCTCTGGATCAGGAACCTGGGCAGGAGCACAACCCACAGCAAGGAAGTAAGGTGCAGCACAGTTCGGGTGGGCGGTGAGTCGTTCAGACCTCGCAGGCTGACCAGCCTCTTCAACATGGCTAAACCTGGCTTCTGGAAGGGGCTTGGGTGTCTGGGGCCCCCCACACTACAGCATTCCCGGGAATCCATCAGGAAAGGCTGATGGACAATGCCCAAAGCACAGAACAGCAAGCCACGGCAACAGCAAAGGGCTGACACCATCCAGACTCTGCTGCCTCGTGGCAGTTGCCCATTCTTAGCTCCCACCTGCTATGGCCAGGCTTGAGGAGAGACCCATACCCATCAACCCCCTTTTGGCAGGGCGCTTCCCAGCCGTGGTCAGCGTAAGTGCAACCCCTCCAGAAGAGCTCCCCAGGCTTGCGCTTACCTTGCTAGCTCCCTGGGGATGCTGCTCACTCCAAGGTCCTGGCAGGCTTTCTGCACTACAGCTGAAGCTTTCAGCCCTTCCAGACGAACACAAGTGATCGTCTCAGATGTCTTGCAGTCTGCGGCAGCTTTGAAAATGCTCTCTGTTCTGTCATGGCCCGGAACTAAGCTCATGACCATAAAGACCGTGACACTTTGAAGCAGGGGCCACATGATAGACCAGGACCTAGTGTCGAGGAAGTGGGCGTTGTCGATGAAAAATATGCCGTATTTCCCCCCAAGCACCTGAAAAAAAGGTGGTTCTGAGTGGAATCTGGTGGATTCTTGAGTGTCTTCCAGGGAGGACACACAACCTTTCTCGCTCTCGAGACAAGGGGATATTAAGAAGTCTCTCCCCAGCCACCTCCTTCTCCAGGAGTTTACCAACTTTGTTTCTGCGAGACTGCAAAGTCTCCTCTAACATCAGTTGCCCGGCAGAAGGAGAGAACTTGGGCAAAGTGCCTGGAGGGCCGTGACCCAGGTGCATCGTCCTGCCGCCCTCTCTGGCAGCTCCAGCGCAGAGCCAACAGCTGGCACAGTTGTTTGCCTGCTGTGAGGCAGAAGGAAGGAGACGTGCTCACCTTCTGTAGCACTTGTGTACAAGTCAGGTGGAACACGCTGGCCCGTTCAGCGGAACACATCTCGGAAACCTCGTCCGTGATGGGAAACTGTCCAGGAAAGACAGAGAAGAACATTGCTGCAGATCTGGGCACACCTATCTCCCAGAGCAAGACTGCAGAGCAAAATGCCTCTGCTTTTTCATGTGGCCAGCACCAGCCCCTTTTCAGTGCCTTTTCCAGGGTGCTGAACAAGACACGGGGCACGTGCACAGCACGGGAGCACCCCATGCACAGGGGCACAGGAATCAGACAGGTGGGGTACGGCCTTCACAAGTCCCAGCCCTGCGCTGAGCCACTCTCAGCGGAGCATCCGAGCAAGACAGCCTCTCACTCTCACCTCAACTAAGAAAACATCGTTTAGCAGGCAATAGGTGCTCTCTTCCACTGTGTCTTGGAGCACGGTCTGCAGAGTGCGCTGCCTGTCACTGGAGGTTTCATCACCCTGGAGACCCAGCGCCCTGGCCACCAGTAGACGGATGGCAGAGAACGGCTGCTTCATGTTGTCCTCTGTCAATTCCATAGTGTTGACCCTGCGGTGCAAGAGCGGAAGGCACTGAGATCCAGAATTGCCTCCTGGTAGCTGAAGCCTGCCCAGACAGCAGTGCTCGATGGGTGAGGCGCCTGGTTCTTTCTGCAGAGGAAAGCAGGACTCTTCGGCCACCCATCTCCAAGTGCTTCCTGGAGAGGACCAGGCTTTCCACTTATAGGATGAGAAAGAGTCCTGAGGG